AACCCCAAGAGCACGGATGTTGTCGTTCCAGCCAGTTTTTGTGTTTGACTCATCATTCTTGTCACAAATAACGACTACTGTTGGATTCAGGCGTGCAGTCTCAATTAAACTGTGCTCACCTTCCACATCTGCTCTCCCATCACCTGATTGTGCCTATCAGCCCAATCCTTGACCTTACCCAAATAGTCTGCGAAATAAGGTTCGCAAACTCTGAGGTCGGTATGACCTTCTTCGCATCCTGAAAAAAGACTGGCATCCAGATAAACATTTCTTTCTTGGGAAATTTACACAAAATCAACTAACCGTTCTTCAAAATAGTTGCCACATCGGGCGCAAGAGTTTTTGAGAGTACAAGCGGAACTCCAGGGGTTACGGTGACATTAGTCGAGGGAGTGGCAGACGCTTCAGGTTGCACCGTTGTGGTCTGTTGCGCGACTTTAGCCAACAGCTCAGTGCCTTCTTCGGTTTCATTTGTTGCGAGTTCCCCAGACGCTGAAAAAAAAATTGGTCAAGAATGTTTTTAATCACAAAGTGTTATTATGCTCTGCACTGACAAAGCCAAGCTCATATACAGTGCTTACTGAAACGACGGATGAGAGCATTCCTACGTACGACGTTTTGGTGCGGCTTCAGCATCTTTCCTTCAATGACTGTCCGTACCCTAGTGCAACGATTGCTGGAAAAGGGCAGGAGCAGAGCGAGAGCCAAAAGTTAGGTGCGCAGGAAGGCCTCCATACAATGTTCCGTTAAGCACTATATGGATACCTCGTTCGATACAATCAGAGAGAAGTAACGCCCCCTTGACTTTTGAGTGGATCAGAATAATCCTTATTCGTGATGTGCCCTAATCAGCTTTGCTACCTCATCAAAGTCTCATAAGAAAACAGAAAAAAAGAAACTTCTTTATGTCATCCTCCTATTTTTTTGGATTCTTCCGCAAACCGGCTTTTTCTGACAATCTTGCGCGAAGCGCCCACGCACATTTTCTCCACACGATGGACCCCTCACACGCCTCGCCCCCTTTTTGTCACGACACAATTTTCATCCACATTAAAACGTCTTCTTTATCACTTGTGTTTTTGCAATGCGTGTGTCTTCTGCTATAGCTCATATCATGGCATTTGGAAGAAGCGCGTCCAAGAAAAGTTGTGAGCCTGGCGGCTACTGTGTATCTGTAGAGTTCTGTATGGTAGGAGTAGGGTCCGTTCCGTTGAACCCCACAGAGTTGAGACATACGAAAACGTTGTCTATGTGAGTCCCAGGTCTACGGAATCCTACCCTGAATGGTGTATGCCAACAGCGAACAGTAAGGAGCTCCACAGATGTGCTGCAGCAGCCTAAACAACTGAGACGCAGACACGCCTCTCCCAAATGCCGTGATGTGAGCAACCAAAGAAAATAGGTGAAATGTGCACACATATTCGCTTATCTATAGTTGATATCGGCGGAAAGCCGCGGATCAGAGTAAGGAGTCGTGATACGAACCCTCCCGCGGCTGTTTTTCTAGCATAGTGGTTGGTCCAGATACAAAATAAAAAAATGGTAGAGGGCTTCTTATATGATTTCTGACACTGTAGAGTCAGCCTGCCACGATATCCACTGTACCTACGGTAATGTTTGCTGCGGATGATGGGGCGCGTCAGGGGGGGGGGGTGCGGAGGGGATATTTGGCGCTTCGTCAGTCCGAGTCTATTCTTTTTTTTCATCCGCTTCAAGCTGGTGGAGAACCGTCCTGTCAGTGAGGATGAAAGGCGGCGAGTCATACCCAGCCTCACTGACAAGCCCCATCGTCCACTGCGAAAGATACTGTTTTTATCGTATAATGCGGAGGATCAAAATGGTCAGAGCTGGGCAATACTGAAAAAATTCGTTATAAGAACTCGTCAAAACTCACTGAGGACAGTATGCAGTGTCACGTTGGAAGTCTGATCGAAGTCGTTCCCCATGTTTGTCACTTCCGCCTTCAAACAACATTAGAAACCAGTATAAAGAGTGGGGAAAATCCAACAGAAAAGAGAGACATTTCGCATTTGGCATTTATACTCCTTGCGTAATTTTCGCTATTGAAGACAACAAACCACCCAACTAATTGTAAGACGATTCTTGTCATGTGCAAGGAGAATGGGTCCACAGCTCAGGGCCTGCCACTTGCTCCGCCTAATCTGCACGAAATCGCTGGAGGATTGTGATACCAGTGTGCTGTCCTCAGCCTCCTTCCGCGCTATCCTCAAGGCGCAGCAATCGCGTTGATACCAAAATTATGCTGCAAACACGCACGCAGGGAAATGGGACAGCCGGAATGAGATGGCGCAAGCAAGTAGCGCGCTTGGCTACAGTAAGGAGTGTTGGCCCTGCACTAGCGCGAGCACATTTGGGAGGATGGCACCCGGAGACGGCGTCACCACCCCCCCCCCTCGGTGCACTTTCGGGGGAAGGAATGGTACTCCAGCATAGCTGCAGACCCATTCACCTCGCACATGGTAAGGACCAGGATACATGTAGGCATACAGTTTTTCTTTAATTATGCACATACTCTTGGAACTGTCTGAAACAGACGAGTGTGGTTGTGGTGTAATCCACAAGAACCGTCTCGCAGGCCTTCAGAACATAGTCCAAGCTGATTTTGTGGGCGGAGTGAGGCTCACGATTGCGGCTATCGAAAGTGCTGGCCCCCATCCCACCGCCTTGGAAGGGAGGGGTGCAGTGAGGAAGACTTAACAGTGGATCTGACCTGCCCACAAGACCAGCGAGGACTATGTTTGCGTCTCACTCGGCACCTTCATAAGAAAAATTATTGATTTTTCTCTACAATCAGAATTCGCAAACAAAACAAAAAATTGAAAAACTATTTCAGCATCTCAGGACACCCCA